GGCCGATATCCAAATTTATGATATCGGTATCGGACATAAAAAAGTATCGTGCCATCTCTAGTTTACACAAGACAATTTTACTTCTTATATGAATGTAATTTTTTCTGACTGTCATAAACAGGATGTGACAAGTAATAATAATAACAACTGTACTGCTTTAAAACATTCACAGCAGGTGGGATATTCGGTCTTTAAGTGATGACATATGAACCCTGCTTCCGCGTCCAAACTACTCTAATGATGTGATGCGTTAAGTTCAAAGCTATGATCCAGTTTTGCTTCTCTCCGCGAATGTTTGGTTGTAAAAAAGTCAGGGCTTAGAGGTGGTGCCATTTCATGCTACTGTGGTCTCATCTTGTGAGATTGGTGAGCAAATTATTTTATCTTTCCATGGTTTATTTGCACTTTTTATGAGTTCACTGTAAGTAAAACATGTCTAACCTTTTACTGAAGAAATAGTTTACAATGTTTTGTATTTTGCAGAAAAACATTTTTATTCAGAATGTTTTTTTAAATTGTAAACATTTAAACTATTGAGATTAACACTGAAGAAGCATTTAAAACCAATGTGAAGATTTTTACATACTTCACTACTTTATTTTCCATTGTAAACAAGATTAATGTTACAAGCAGTACTTTTATGTGCTACCAAATATTGAAGTGTAATTATTTGAAAACTTGGTGTGTCCTATTTCACTGACAGGTCAGGTTTTTTTTTTTTTCACACCCTTTCGACTTTCATCCCTTTGTTGAAGTCTCATTCATTTCACTGCTTCTGTACATAGCCATACCTTCTGGTCCAAATTATTTGAGCTCCTTTAAATGTTTTGGTGAAGTAAATTAAGGTGAAGTTAAGTTTTTTTTAAGTAACTATAGTGTTACATAAGCAGCTTCTACCATTGACATTACCCTTCATCAGCCACTAGATTTTTACTCCCAGATGGCATGGATGTAATTAGTGTGCCAAGTATGTAAGTGTAAGTAGTGAACATAAGTTAGCAATAAAGACACTGCAAGAGGTTTTTAGGGGACTTTTGCCTTTCATGATTTTTCCACTTTGAAATGGTTTACTTCCAGATTAGATTTCTTTTTTATACGTCAACAATTTTTGGATGCTGTTTTCCTTGCTGGGCTTTCCCTTCCCATCACCAGGCAAAACCTGCACCATTTGTGTTTTTTCTGTTGCCACGACAATGACTCAGATGGCTAGTAGGGAAGGGGGGCGTGAAGGGGTAAAGTGAATTCTGTGAAGTGCTGTGTGTCTGCATGGGTCTGTTTTGTGTAGTGTAGAAACTGCTGCTAAGGTTCAAAATGTGTTACTTAAACATTAGATTAGTTGGTGATTCCATTTAAGGTTGGAAAATATGTGTGTAAGATTCTTTCAGTGGGCTAATCCAATGGGACTAGTAGCAAAAACCACCCGTGCTGCACTTTCTTCCAATCCTTCATCCTGTATTTAGTTGTGACTCAAACCATTAAGTTACAGATGACATCCACTGAACGTGACACAGTGAAAACAAACACAAATAGAGACCGCATCATTGCTTTTGCAGGGGGGCAATGAAATGAACATAATATATACAAAAATCCAAAGAACTGGGGTTTATAATGAATATATTTTTTAAAAAATACATAGATGTAAATAGTTGCTGTATGTGTGACAATGTTGGTGCAAAGTTTTGTTTAGACTGGCCCACTGGTTAAGGAGGAGATGGTGTCCATACTGTACAAAGATTATCATCAGTATAGTAAGATTGCTCTCATTTTGTTTGACTACTGTTTTCCACTCTCCTGACTCCATGCTCTTCTCAGAATCACCGACTCCGGGACCACTGGATGAAAGCCTGAGTGACCTCACAGATGTGGCCCCGTCTCGCAAACGGCGCTTTCGTCACCTCAGGGCCCCAGAGGCTGCAGTAAAGCGACCAAACCCAGAGACATCTCAGAGAAAAAGGTATGAGTGTCTCTGCGCTGCCTCATTCACATCAAGATCACTGCTGGTTATGCTGCTGTACTTCGTCTTGTATTCAGAGTAGCTCCTCCTACTTAACATCGCTGCCTTTATAGTTTCAAACACATCATCTAGGTCTGTTGAAATGTGTTCAGATGTGACAGGGAGGGACAGCTCCACCTGAAATAACACATTCTATATCAATGAACTTGATTGTCATAATTCACACACGCACACACATCTCCCTCTATTGCTGAGGAACTAAAAGCAGAACACAAAGAGCTTGATCTGTTTTTTAATCATTCAATGTCCCAGTCCTTTCTGCTGTGTCATATTTTCCTTTCCTTCACATCCATCATCCCTTCTCTTCCTAATCTTACCCAGGGGCGGCTCTAGAAGGGTGGCATGGGGTGGTATGTGCCACCCTAAAATGATCTCTTTCCACACCAAGTGCACCCTAGTTTTGCATATGACAGTGTTGTTTATTAAAACAAGATAGCATTTGTTAAGTCTAATTGTTGAATGTTGTCATTGTGTTTCTTAACTTTGTAGAGTCTTAGTTCAAGCAGTAGGATCAAAGCCATTCCTTTGATCCTGACCACCTCTCCAGCCACTCTGTGCTGGGGGAGGTTTTATTGTAGATACATTCTATCTGACAGATCTGTTTCTTGTGTTGTAAGCTTCCTGCTTTTATGATCCTTTTGGTCAGCAGGAGGTTACACAAACGCACCCCCATGACACACACGCAGACACACACACACACACA